AGATAAACAACTCAGCAGGGTGGGAATGTGCCTAGGAGTGCTCTGTGGGTCTTTCCAAGGACAAAGGCCATGTCCCTTCCTTGGACAGGCTTTGCTCTGAGGTAGAGCTGTGACCTACCCAAGGAGGTGGTGCCTGGGGACCCTGTTTCCAGACTTGGTTTTCTGTGCCACCCTATCCAGGATGGGGCCCCAAACCGCTCTCATTCCCCCCGCCTCTTCCTGGGAGGGCACTAGGATGCTGCCTCTGTCCAAGGTTCCAACGGCTTAAGTGGCCTGCTATTTCCTGTGCTTCACACTGGAAAGGGACGTGGTTTGCAGCCTGAGCCAGATTGATCACACAGCCAGCACTGGCTCTTGGGCAGGGCGGGGCCTCAGCCAGGGGCCATCCCCTGGGAAGCTTGTCTGGGCAAGGCCAGTTTCTGACTGCCAGTGGAGGGGTGGGCGGGGCCAGCGAATGGGGTGGGTGGGGCCAGTGAATGTGCAGCCTCCCTGCCTCCCTTTCTTTATTGATATAAAATCCACATGACATATAGTTAACCTTTTGAGTTGTGCAATTCAGTGACATTTAGTGCATCCCCATGTTATGTGACCATCACCACTACCTCGCTCCAAAACCTCTCCATCACTCAGAACAGCGCCCTGTGCCCACTAAGTAACCCCTCCCCAGCCCTGAAACCCACTTCCTGTTTCGAAGAACCGGGCAGCTGGGGACCAGGTGAGGGATGCTGCAGCTCTGCCTTGGTGCCTGGCTCACAGCCCTCAGCACTGTGTTCTCGGGGCCCACATTGGAGCAGGTGCTGGTCCCCTCCCTGTGCTCCTCAGTATCCTGTGTGTGGTCCACGGTTTGGTCATCCATGCTCTGTCCACTCTTGGCTGCTGCTTTTCTTGTCAGTGAGTGGTGCTGCCCTGGGCATTTGGGCACCGGTGTTCAGTTCTCGTGGGTCTACACCTGCAGACTCCTGATGGCACCGGTGTCCCAGGTGGTATGCTGGGCCTCCTGCCTGCCCCACCCTGAGGCCCTCCAGTGAGGTCCCTGGGGTTTGCAGAGATGGAGGGGCCTGAGGAGTGTGCCTGTGACTGCAGGCTCGAGACCACGCCCGTGCAGGGCGCTGGGAGGACCGCTGGGCCTGCTGCTATGTCTGGAGCTTGGCCCTCCCGTCTGGGAGTTGGGGCTGGGCTGGATGCCTAAAGCCTTGGGGCACTGATTCCCAGCCACCCCTGCTGCCCTCACTGCCACCTGCCCCTCGACAGCTCCTGCTGGGGAACTAGGGTCTGGGGTCGAGGGTCACAGCCTGGTGGGGCGGTGTGGGTTTCCTCCTCACCTTGCTCAGGTGCGGCCCTGGGCCAGCCCCCCCGTGGCTGCTGTGTGCAGTGAATGCTGGCTGTGGGCTCCTGGGGGCCCAGGTGAGTGGGCATTCTCCTGAGGGTGCAGACAGGAGGTGCTGGCAGCTCTGGCTCCTTGAAGGGACAGGTCCAGGATGGGATGGCGGGAGCAAGCTGAGGGCAGAGCAAAGTAGCTCTCACCTCAGAGTCAGGCAGTGAGGTGTGGGTAGCCCTCAGGAGGGGGCTGTGGTCAGGGGTCTGGACTCGAGGTGAGGCCTTACCCCAAGGACCTCATGTGCGGCCAGGAGTGCAGGGGCTGTGTTAAGCGGGAGGGGGCAGGAGGGCGGTGGCTCAGCTGGCCAGCCTGTGGGCCCTGGACCCGGCCTCCTACCCACCCTGCCCCATCCACAGTGCCCCTGTGTCTGCCTGGGGTCGGGCACAGGCCAGGCTGGCGCTGCACACCTGGTCCAGCACGATGGTCCTCGTCAACATGGCTCACAGTGACTGGGCTCTGGCCACAGAAGCTTTCCTGAGAAGCCAGGGAGCTGGGCCCTGGGTCTCTTCCTGCACAGACCCCCACCCAGTTTTAGCAAGGTCTGTGAACCTTCACACATATGAAAGCCCTGTGGCCGAGTTCTGCCGGTCTCTTTCTGCACGGCTGGACACTAATCCGTGTTCTAGTTTCCCCTTCCGACACAACAACAGACCCGCTTTGAATCTGTCACAATTTAGGATGAAATGGGATTCTCAGAATTCACTAGGGAAAATGATAACACAAAGAAAAAATAGTACCAAGGAGACCCCCCACCTCCTCAGGTTGGGGGTCCGGGCCCCATCTTGTGGCTGCACTGGCCCGGGGACTCAGATTCTACAGCCAAGTCCAAGAGTCCTTTGGACCCAGCTGGCAGGTCCTCACAGTTCCCGCCCGACCTGACCCTGTCCTGCTGTGTAGTGAGAGTGTGGCAGAGCCAGGAGGGCCGTCCCACTGGGCCGCCCCTGGTGTCTCCACAGAGCCACCCCAGAAACGTCAACTCTGTCACTCCCAGGCTGGAGGCCACTGAGTGTCAGGGACAACTGGACCATCTGCAGAACCTCTCCTTGTGCGGGCTCAGGTGGGAGTTCAGAGCTTGCCTGGGACCGAAGGCCCAATGCCAGGGGAGCAGCAGCCTTCCCTCCACACCGGGGGAGGGTTTCAGGAGTGCCAGGAGTCCCAGGGTCAGGCTGGGACTGGCACAGTCCAACCGACAGGCACCCGGGAGCCTACCCAGCAGTAGCCAAACAGTTAAAAGAGAAGAAAGGAATCCAGCGAAATCAAGCCGTCAAGTAGTTAATTGACTTTGCCTCAATCAGCCCAATGAATATTCATGAATGGCTGGTCCTCCACAGCCTGGGCGCCTCTTCCTCTGAGCTGCCACGCCAGGGTTGCGCCTGCCTCCTCCAGCCTGCAGCCGCCCTGATTGGCTCATCTGTGCTCTTGAAAATGCCATAGCAACCCCTGGCTGGTTGCCTAGCAATTCTCCCCTTTCTTTTCTGTCTCCCCTGAAGCCCAAGCCAGTAATCCATAGGCTAGGGGTGGAAACGTCTTCGCGAGGTGCACAAGAGTGTATAGTGTGTGTGTGTGTGTGTGTGTGTGTGTGTATGTGTGCAAGAGGAGGAAGTCTGATCCCCTAGGTCCTGGCTTGCCTGCAGGGGTAAGAGATAAGTCACAGCCTTTGGGCCTGGAGGGTGGTCCTGGGACACCCCTTGGTCACCCATCAGCCATGAGCCCCAGTGGTCCACTGCCACAGGCCCCAGGCCCCTAGGGCTTGTCTTCCACCCACTGGGTTCCTTGATGGAGAGCAGAGGTGGCCTTAGCGACAGGTACATCCCACATGGAGAACCACATGGGCTCCTGCCATCCGGTGGCTGTTGGGGTTGCAGGGCCCAGATTCCCTGCAAGCCACTTCAGGAGGCTACCATCTGGGGCTTACTGCAGGCCCAGCAGGCTGCCAGGTCTGTGGAGCTGGGGTGGATGTGGCCAGGTCCAGGGGTCCAGGGCCTGGATGAAGCCACGGAGAGGCTGAGGTAGCCAGGGTCTAGCCCAGGAGTACCTGCCCACCTGTCCTATGGCCCTCCCCTCCTGCTTTCCTCTGTGTGGACCCTGGAGAGACTGCTCTGCTGTCCTGGGCCAGCCTAGGTGTGGACACAGAAGGTCAGACCCATCATTGGTTGGTGTCAGCATCTGTTTTTTGCCTAGATGAAAGATTTGTGGGGGTTTCACACCAGTGAACCGGCAGTGCTGCAGGGGTTCGAGGTGGGAGGGACCTGGCCTGCCTGCTGCCTGCTGAAGCTGACCTGTAGTTGGCTGGTGCCGGGAGATGCCGGTCCTCACGTCTGTGGATGGGTGTGTCCAGGGAGAGCCGGTGGGTCCTGGGTGGGGGCATCCAGGCGGAGGGCTCCTGTCTCCCCTGCCTGGGACCAGCTAGAGAGCATGATCAGGACAGACAGCTCTGCTCAGGGGTCTGCTGGCCCCTGGGGACGCGGCTGGAAGCTGATAGGGGGTGGGGCGAGGCGGTGGGCCCTGGAGGCAGCCCTGAGGCCTTCTGCTTGGGGTGTGTAGGCCCCCCCGACACTTCGCTGTGTGTCAGGAGAAGGAGTCAAGGGATGTGGACCAGAGCCACCACCATGTCCAGCCAGCTCCTGAGACCAGCACTGGACAGGGCTGCAGTCCCGACACGCAGAGCACCCACTTCTGCCTCCGCCGGGGTAGCACGTGTGCCCGTCTGCCTGCGCAAGGGTGTGCCGACACACGTGTGAGCGTGTGGGTGCACTGTGTTGGGTGAAGACTGCTGTGGGTGCTGTGTCTGGCCAGTGGAAGCTGCCGGGTCGGTGCCGCCGCCGAGCCCCCAGCTTTGGTTTCCTGTTAAACACAGCAAACGTGTGTCTCCAATAAAAAGCTACACAGCAACTTAATCTCCGATCGATTTTGAGGAAAGGAAAATAAACCCTGCTCCCTGGGGCACCGGCAGCCTGATAGGCAGTTGTTCTTGATATGGAATGTGGGCAATAGATACATTAAATATAAGTGGAGGTACAGAGGGGATCGATAAGCCCCGCTTCCCCGCGCTAATTGAAAACCGAGTCAAGGTTTGATTAATGGGCAGGCCTCTGGGGCGGCGGAGGCTGGATCTGCTCCTACTGGGACCTGGCCCTCCTGGCGGCAGGCGGGGGCAGCGGACGGGAGGATGTTGGCCCCAGGCCCTGGGAGGAATAGGAGCCCCCACCCTGGGGGGCAGCACTGTGAGGGGTTGGCAGCTCGGCAGGGGTGTGGCTTGAGAAGCCTCGGTGCCAGCCTCACAGCCTTCCCCAGACCTCGGGTGCAGGTTTGCTGGGTCCTCCTGGGTCCCACCGCTGTGGGCAGGAGTGGAGGAGTGTGAGGGTGGGCCCAGGGGTTGGCAGGGGCTGGGTGGGAGCTCCCCTGGAGGCAGCTTGGTGGGTTTAAGTTCTCTGCCGACTCCTGAGGCGGAGCGTCTCTTCCCGTGCTTGCTGGACACCTCTGGACTTCTTTGTTGAAGTCTTCTGACATTTTAAACTTGGTCCCCTGAGCTGTGCGGTTCTGGGGGCAAGCCCTCATCCGTGTGTTCAGAATATCTTCTCACATCTACGGCTGTCTTTTGATTTCCTTTATTGTCTTCCAGAGATGGAGCCCACCTTCTCATCCTCTTCTCTCGCCTTTTCCTGATCTGGAAAGTTCAGGCTGGGTTTGGCATCGGCTGTGGGGGCTTCTGGTGCCTGTGTCAGGCAGAGCAGGGGCCTCCTGGATGGCCACGTGCTGACCTGCCCCGTCCCTGATGATTGCTGGCTCCTGGGACTAAACCCAGAGGAGCCTAGTGTACCGCAAGGTCTTCACCACTCACAGCGGGAGGAGGAAGAGAATCGGGCAAGGTGAGAAAGACCTGCTGGCCCGGGGAGGGAGGAGTGGCCACAGCCAGGGAACCTCGTGCCTGCAGAAGCTTGGGGGAGGCAGCCCCATCAGGCTTCGGCACTGCCAGCAAGGCCCGTTTCAGGCTTTGGCCTCCAACACTGAGATGGTGTGTTGGCCTTGGTGCCATGTCCCAGCAGGGACAGGAACGGACATAGTGCTGTCTTTTGGCTCAGAAGTTCTCTTCTTGCTACAGTGGATTTTCCTGTGGGTCTTCAAGTGCTGTTTCTGCATTTTTTTGTGATGACGTAGAATTCTCCCTCACTTTGTGATTGCGGCTGACGTGTGGGTGGGTTTACAGGGTGCCGCTGGCGCTCCGCTCCTGGGTGACTCTCGCCCTCTGCCCACCGATTTGCCAACGCGGTTGTCTTTTGGCATCTGCTGGCTCCACATCTGTGTGTGCGGCTTTCACAGCCACAGCTGGAAACCTGGGCAGGGAGTCGCGTGGCGTCTGTTTGCACGGCGTTCACCCCGTGTCGGGTACCACGAGGTGTCGAGGAGGGTGTCCAGGTGGAGTGTGCACTGCGCCACCCTGCCTTAGTAGGGGGACCAGCGCTGGGTCCTGGACCTGTCCCCCGACATGGAGGGCTGACTGCATTTTGTGACGGCTGTTCTTGTGGGGAACTTGTTGAGTAAGGACCCCGAGTGTCCCTGAGAAGCCTGGAACTTTCTTCCAAGGCCTGCAGAGCCCCCCGGAGCTGGGCTGGCCTGTTGTGTGGGTGCGGCACGTGGGGGTTGCAGGCCCGCCTTGCTGCAGGCCTGTTGCTGTTACAGCTGGACCTGGAGGGCTGCTCTCAAGTCTGGAGCTGTGCTCTCCTCTGCTCAAGCTGCCTCTGACTTGTTCCTCTCTCAGATCTGAATAAGGAGCACCCGGGCCTACCAAGCCCCAGGCACCAGGGCCAGCTCCCACATGGCTCCAGGTGCCACCTCCCCTGGGGGTGTCCATGGTGTCTAGGCAGCATGATCAGATGTGCCCAGCCTGTCTTGTTTCCCTGGAGCCCCCAGTGGCCCACCCCCTAGGACCTCTGACCTCCCCGAACATCAGGCTGCCCCTTCAGTCCATCCCATGTGACTGACACTTGACTCACGAATGTCAATTTGCTCCAGGCCACATGCGGCCTTCTCCCCCACATATGCCTGTCTCTTCCTTCTGTCTCTTAAGGGATGTCTGTCTCTGCATTTAGACCCCCCAGGCCAGAATGACCTCATCCAGGATCCTAACATAAGTTACATCTGTGAAGACCCTTTCTCCAAGTAAGGCCACACCCTGAGATTCTGGTGGACATGCACCTTGTGGCTAGTGTCTGCCTAGCAGGGATGGGTTAGCACCCAAGTGGTCCTCTGTTGGCTCTGAGGGTGGGGACCCGGCTTGGGTGAGCCTCGCAGGGGTTCCATGAGTGCAGGTGACTGAGGAAGGTCCCGGGTGGGGCTAGGCCATCCTGCTGGGCTCCAGGGTCAGGGAAGAGCATGAGGGCACTCGGAGGCCCAGCCAGGGGCTGGTGGCCTCTCTGGGTCCTAGGGAGTCCCACTCCGTAATGTCAGGGTGAGTGAGGTAGTGAGGGAGCTCGGGAGCCTGGCTCCATGTCCCCTGTCCTGAGGCACAGAGCCCCCCTAGGTTCTGCAAGGGGCTCAGCAACTAGACCTGGAAAGGGCCAGCTGGCACCTAGCTTCTCTGGTATTATGGGGGCCTAGCAGTCTTCAGATTGGGCTTGTTGGGGTGCCTGGGAAGGGCCCAGCTGCTTGGGGGTGTCAGGCCCCCCGGTGCCAGGAAAGCTCTTCCCAGGGTTTGCAGACCCTTGAGGTCCGTGGCAGGCCAGCAGTCACATGCTCTGTCCTTCTGAAGGGGTGCTTGCAAGGCCTTTGCCACCGAGAGCAGGGCTGGAGGAGGAAGCCATGACAGAGCCGCACTTCTTGCTTCCTGGGCTCCCGGATGGCAGCATGTGGCCAGGTGAGGTCTGACCTCAGGCTCCAGCAGGTGCCTGGTCTATGAGCAGGGGAGGCGTCCCCCAGGGGGCAGTGTGTACTGAGGGGGACCGTCACCACTCTGTCCTTGCCTGGTGGGTCTGAAGGGTCCCACCTAGGTGAGGGTCCTGCTCTAGACCCAGAGCTACCTGCCAGGGGTCCCGAAGATCCTCCTCTGGCATTAGTGCCTCTGGGGCTGGGGCTACAGCCCATCTGCCCGGAGCTCAGGACCATTGCTCCTGACACTGCCGTATCAGAGGGTCTGTGTGCGGGGCCCTGTGGGCCTGGAAAGGCACGTGGGGTGGCCAGCACCTGACAGCACTCCCGACCCCTGTGTGCCCTCCTTCCCAGCCCCTGGCCTCCAGGGAAAGAGCCTCCTCTGCTGCCTGAGGCCAGCACCCTGACCTGGTAGGCACTGACCGTTGTCCACAGCAGGCGCTCAGAGTTGGGGGTGGAAGAGACTCCTGCACAGTGTCCTGCTCCGTCCAACCACAGCAGCCCGGCTGACCTGACACAGGGCTCTCCAGCATGGAGTCTCCCTCTGCCCACTCGCCGGGTGTCCCCCTGGCGGGAGCAGGCTGTTTGCTCCTTTCCCAGCTTTCTTATCATAGCAGCCTGCAATGGGTCCCACGGCCAGGGTCAGGTATCTTCGGCTCACCCCACGGTCAGCTGGTAGCTGCCGCCATCCAGTTCTAACGAGAGGCTGGCCCATCTCCCCAGGAGCGTTTCTGAAGCTCATGGACATCGTGGTGCTGCGGCAGGGCCCAGGGTTGCTCCCTGGTGCACAGGGGTCGCGTCAGCAGCGAGCCCTTGGGGGTCTCACAGCCCACCCTGCTCATGGGAGTGGACTGCTCCCCTGGGCAGGAAGACACCGCCTCTCAGGCCAGGCTGTGGTAGCTGCTTTCACACGCGGATTCCTGGGGTTGGCACCCAAGTGGACTTGCTCTGGGCAGCTGAGCCTCCCCACACACCACTGCTGTGAAATCTGGGTTGTCCTGGCTTCCTGTCTCAGGAGCCAACTGCCTGACTGGTGGGCCTGGTGGGAGGTGCTCTGGGGCTGTGGAAGGACACTGGCTGTCCAGCTGGTACCAGGAGCAGAGGTATGTGGTGGCTGTAGCCCCGGGGTGTCCAGCAGGGCACCCAGGGCCCACAGGCCTGTCCTGCTCAGGACAGCTCCAGGGCTATAGCACATTCCAGGCTGAATCCAGAGTGCCCATGCGCCATGGGCAGCCTGCCAGCCTGGTGCGGCAGGCCTTCTGCCAGCAGCTGTGGCCCGGCAAGTGAGGGGTGGACGTGTGTCCACAGCCCTGGCCACTGTCCCTAGGGGATTAATCCTCACTTAACATTTCTGCTCCTGGGGCCGGCACTTGGCCTGACCTGGCCACCCCCAACAGCACTGCAGGCAGCTTATCCTGAGCAGTTAATCCAGCTCAGGGCGGAATTAGCAGGGACATCCCTTGGGAAAGGGTGTTCAAGGTCGGGGGACTAGGCCCAGCTTACCTGTAAATAGGGCCCGGGGCT